GTTTGTGAGCGCGGTGATGACCTGATGAAGCTTCGGGTACAATAAAGGCAGAGAGTTTTGTGACTGACTGAGCAAGAAGACGCCGCACTCTGAGGTCACGAAGTTACCTGCATCGTCACTGTTTTATTATGCGTTGTACTGTATGTGACTTGGCCTGTTTCCGGGTGAGGCACAAGGTGTCCCATAAATCGGTACGGATGAAAAGCGATCTTGTGGGCGACACACTTCGTGCCGGGTTGGAAGCGCGCATGCTCGTCGTAAGCCGCGATCGATTGCAGGTGTGTACACAGGAACAAAAGAAGTCAAACTGGAATAGAACGTAAGTCTTCCAGCAAATAAGGAAAAAGAGAAAGCAATAACGCTCTATTCCCGATTTTGCCATTTGAAAGATGGGACATGGCGTCAGCATCAAGCGTCTTTGGTCACACGTATTCATTTGTTGATAAAAATTGTCCCTGGGGCATATGCACGTTTCCGGGAGGGTGTATAGGGGCATGGAGGCAACAATGCACTCTTAATCCTGGCATGAGGTGAAGATGTGACAAAAGGCTTCACTCTCATGCCCCTGCAAGTTCAGCAATGAAGAAGGAACCCCTAGTATCCACTGGATAGGAAGGTGGATGAGCCTTAAAGCCATGGCAAGGGAAGAAATCCTGCCAGGGACTGTAACATTTGTCCAGTTCATATTCAACTTATTAGTGGCTACAATATTTGCCTGAAACATGTTTCAGTTCCACAGTATTCGTTGAGGTTTGTGTAAAATTGTCTTCCGTACAAAGTGGTATTCCAGGCTGTTTGTTTTGAACAGAAGTAAATCTGAACTTGAGAATCCCCCCCCCCTTTTCTTCCCAAAATCTGTGGTGCTGTTATGTGTTGACACAGCTGAACATAGCATTTTTCAACAGAAAGTTGCCTGTTATGGTAGAACTTGTTTGTCATGCCACTGCCTGATTTTGTCTTGTGAATATTGATTTTGCGTCACCCTAGTAGTATTAACGTGTAACTGCCACCACGCAGTCCTGCAGTCACTGGGCCATTGATGTACACTGCTGTTACCTGCATTAGAATTGTTTGAGATAAAGATGTAGTAGTGAAGACAGAATGGCTATTGAATCTGATTGATTAGCACTCCTTTGTGTTTTGGATTTCCCAGGTTCAAATCTCAGCAAATGCCAGGGTAGTACCTTAACTTAGGCCACTGCCTTCTCTATCCTTTCCAGTTCATTATTCTTTGTTCATCCCATTCAGCACTGCATAGTATGAGCTGCTGACAGAGTTGTAAGTGAACCATAAATAAATAGGAAGAGAGAGACAGCAGGTTGCACCCTTTCAGTTGTAAAAGAAATGAAAACATAAAATAACACCTGAATAAAATTGATGATTTTAGACGTAACTGGTTTTATACATAGCAGATAAGGCAGAATGTGTTGAAAGGAGCAGCTTTAAAAATTAATTATAAAATATGAAGTCTGAGGACCTTGTCATCACTTCCCTTCATATAATCAGCTCTTATTACACATTTCCAGGCAGCATTAGGTGATACTTGTTTCTCAAGACTTGAACCTCCGTTATCATGTTAACTAGAACCTTCTACTTGACCCTGTCCTGAGCCATAAGAATCCACTGTACACTGTCAATCCCTATTTCCTTAAAATGCATATAAATATTGTCCTTCTATCTGTTTCTAGATCTCTTAAGTGATTTATTCCATTCTGTTTCCTGATGATAATTTTGTATGTCTTTCTAATGTCTCTCATGTGATCAATGCCCTCCTTTCTCAGTCTTTAATGTGATCTCCCTAGCAAAATTTAAGTATGTAAAGTATGACTCTCATTATATAGTATATACATACAGGAAGTGGAGTGGGCTTTGAAAAGATTCTTTTTCTAGTATGGTACCAATAACAGCCCAGCTGGAAAAGAGGTAGTGAAAGCTGAAGTCTTTAGCCCAGCATTCTCGAAGTAATGAGTTCCAGTGTGCATTTACATCACCGCCCTTGTAGAGTGCACCAAGTAATGCAGAACAGAATATTCGTATTGTTCTGTGTTTATATTTTATAGTCCCAAGTTTTCCTACCCCTGAGCTTTATGTAATGCTTATCCTGCCATTACATCAGATCCAAGTAGTTTAAACTGTGATGTTGTCACTTGAGTAGAAGACACACTTCAGTCCTCCATAAAACCCTTTCAGTGTCATTAGGCTATATGCATTCATGAAATGGAGTTTTCTTCTCTCTTGCTCTCCTCCCACCCCACCCCATTTTAACTGGGATGGAGCATTTGCTTTTCTTCTAAGGCTAAAGATGGCACAACCCCCATGTTGGTCCATCCTTACTTTTACATGCAGCAGTTTTTTACTGCTGTCTTGTTTGTTTGAATCTTTATTATAGGCTCTCGGTGTTTACACTGTAGCTCCATTTGGCACATGTCTGTGTTTGAATTACTTTGAAGAATCCACCTGTTCCAAACAGTTTACCAAAATTTCCTCACAGGAGCACATTTCAGAGTTAGATGTGCATAGAGATGTTTTATCATCATTGCCTTCATTGGGTTCGTTATGGTTATTTTCCAGCTCAGTTCTCTCACACCTGTCTTTTGTAAGTGTGCCCTCTGTTTCTTATTTGTTTTAGAGTTCTGGTACAACTGACATACCCATATTTTATTGGTTTATTAATCAATTTATTTGTATGTAGATGTTTTAATTTATTTCTGAATATATCAGATAATTTAGCTCTCATTTCTGTTAAAAATATCATCTGTGAAGCTTATTTTCTGTTCTCGTATTTTCTTGTCAGAGTCCGAAGTTCGAATCTGTACAACAGCTTGGTTATAATAATTGTTTTTCTTCTCCATTGAACTACTCAGAACTTGTGTAAAGCTCCTCTATACATGTACTGATTCTGTTACATGAGTCACCGAGAGTGAGTTGCTGGATTGTTCTAAATATTGCCTTGGCTTTGAAGTTGTAGTCAAGTCCTGTGCATGTTAGTGTTTTCTATTACTGTTGGCTGCTTCAAGTGTGATATGATGGTGGTTAATGTGTGAATATATTTGACTATACTGTTTGTATGTTATCTTGAAAGCAATAACAAATCCCACCAGTCTAAAACATGGCAAGTCTTTTATTATATTTATCTGCGTTCTGATTCTCTAGAATTCTTCATGTCATGGTTGGGTACATTAGCACTCTTTCTCCATATATGAGATCCCAGGTTTGTTTCTTGTTTCAAAGGCAGGTATCTTTACATGTATTTCATGGTATTCTTCTGTTTCTTCAGTCAAACATGAAACAGTATCTTAAATGATTCCTTTCATATCATTTCCCATTTCATCAGTAATCACTGTCCTATTTCAAAACACATTATTTTTGTCTGAACAGTTGCAGTATAGTTACTATTCTGTTACATCATTAATTTTTGCTCAAATTCTACCAAAAGTTTTTGCAATTATGCTATTGTCTTATTGCCCTGTTTACCTTTTAATTACTCATTTTGACAATCATTTAGTTATCTTTCTGTTCAGTTTGCAAACTTTTGTATATGGAAGCTGTTGCTCTATTTTATTATATGTGTGTTGAGTTTAAAGTAAGTAATTTGCAAAAAATAACGTTAAAGCATAAAGTATTTGTAGATGTTGAAGTATATTGTCCATTTTTATACTGTGTGCTCAGATTATGTAACAAATGGACTCATTTAGAGTTATAATTAAATATATAACTTTATGCAACAGAAATTAAACATGTATGATGGCCTGAATACGTATTGATTGGTGAGAGTGGTATGAGCCAGTAATGTTCCACAGATTCATTTGATAAAATTTTAATGAGATCATGTATAATTTTATGTTAAAATTGGTGGCACACAAAGGAACTTAAGTAAACAAATGTGATGGCCTGAAGTTGTCACACACATGTTGAAGAGCATACCATATAACTCATAGTAGAATTTTGTGTAGATGGAAAACAGTATTATTATTGAGTAATCAACATAAAGGAGGTTTCATAACAATTAATTGAATGCAAACATATAGGCGCATTTCCTACAGACACCAATCTTGTTCGTTTGCTACAAACTTAATGTGTGGTGCCTAAGACAGGCATTTTCACATAACATGGGCTTGCAGGCTCTGTCCAGGAGTTGGAAATGGGCTGCTAATTTAGTCTGCAGTGTCTGTATTAATGCATATTGGTTCACAGTTCACTTCTGTTGGTGTTGCAGAGATGGAAGACTTCGTGAAGGTGACCAGATCCTAGCTATCGATGGGCAGCCACTTGACTCCAACATCTCCCACCAGCAGGCCATCAGCATTCTGCAGAAGGCCCGTGGGCTGGTGGAGTTGGTGGTAGCCCGCAGTGGGCCTGAAGACACCCCTGTCACTCCACCATCACCCTCTCCTGTCGACCGTTCCCCCTCAGCTGTCAGTGACACATCAAAGGCTGGATCCGACATGGTGGTGAGTCCTTTCGTACTAGACTTCATTGATTAATTATGATTAAAAAATATACCAACATGGTTATTTTATTTTGTTGCTGTGTATCTCTGCATTGCTAGGTCTTTTGTTTAAGCAAGAAATTGCTGAGATTTACAAAGAAGTGAGACTCGCCATTAATCATTCAGGAATAGTTTGAAGAAGTGTGTTTATAATTTTCCATTATGTAGCTTAATACAGAGATAATAATGTGTATTAACATTTCTTTCTACATATCTGTTCCTTGGATCATAGTGGCTATAAATATAAATAATTTTTATTAAAGTGATATTTTAGAATCCCCCTCAGGAGATTGATTCAGATGTCACATATAGTGATATTGGTTTCTTGAGTAATAAGCATGGAAGGGTCACAGAAACTGATTCAGCACTAGAGAAGCTACCACAGACCTTTTGGAAATATTGAAAGATCAATAAGCTGATGTTTCTTTGTGTTTGAGTTTTTAAATTTGTGGCTGCATACTGTGCTTCTGTTTCTACAGCTGAACACAGAGTGGGCACAGGTTGAGGTGATTGATCTGATAAATGATGGCTCTGGGTTGGGTTTTGGAATTATTGGCGGTCGGAGCACTGGAGTGGTAGTTAAGACCATCCTGCCTGGAGGGGTTGCGGACAGGGTGAGTGCTGCTTGTTGTTAACTGTACTAGCCAGCAGAAATGCAGTAGACTGATGTGTTTGATATGGTATTTGTAATGTAATGCAATGTATCTGTTGCATAGGACAATCGTCTGCAAAGTGGAGACCACATCCTGCAGATTGGAGAAGTTAATCTGCGAGGTATGGGATCTGAGCAGGTGGCAGCAGTGCTGCGGCAGTCTGGCAGCCACGTTCGCCTGGTGGTGGCTCGACCTGTTGAACCCACATCTCCAGACTATCAGGTATGTTGATAAGCCCAAACTGTTACATTTCCACTCAACATATAAAACAGTGGTTTAGATGATTTTGGGCATGGGTTGGTAAGCTGTGTAGGGTGACTTCCATTGTATTTTGGTGAGAGGACAATGAATGGTGTGAAACTTGATTGAAGAAGTGGGTTGTCTTTTGAGCCATCTAAATTCAGTAACTGAGAAAAAGAAGTAATTAGTGGCTTCACATTTCTACTTTTCATGAGGCAGAGAGTGTTATAGTGTCCAAGCATTCATTATAGTCAATTCTGGGAGGGCCTTTAAGTTCTGTATAATGTAGGAGTGGTACATACAGCAGCTACTTATGACATGACTTTATAGAATTGTGCAGAAGTATGTAATGCTGTTTAAAAGTTATGAGTGTTTACAAGGCTCAGAATGACAGATTTTCTGAGTACAGTTTCCAACGAAGGTGATTTCTTGAGAAAGTTAATTCTTATGAAATGCATGAAGAAGACTCTGTACATTGTCAGTCATATTAAAGCTCCTGTGATGTAATAAAAGAGTCAAGACTGGCAACCACCTTCAAGAATGAGGTATGGCCAAGGCTCCAGTAGTGTGTTCCACCATGCTGCAAAAGTTTGTTTCTAAAATCAGTATATTTCTCTACAGGCTCTGGGTAGTCATGCTCCAATTGTCCCCACAAAGATCCTGGGAGATCCTGATGAGCTGGACCGCCACCTGCTCCAAAATGGCTACCCAGAGACATTCAACCCCCATACACCAGTAGTGGACACGTATGACAACCAGTTTATCTTCAGCCAGCAGGACTCAGAGATTGAGCTTCACGTGAGTTGCACTGAAGCACACTGTGTTTCATCTCCTGTACATTTTGAAGGTTTGTGACCTCACAAAATATCAGACCCTATGTCAATGGTGCTAAAGTTACCTGCATCTCACAGTTTGGTGGTGGTGTTGATGAAAATTAAAGTGCCAGGTATGGAATTCTTTAATGGCATGGTATTCATACTGAATTTCACAATAATGAATGCAGTTAGAAAACGTGATACCGAATGCAGATCATTATTTATGACTCAAGAAGCAGAGTTCTCTTGACAATCTAGTAGCCACTTTGCTAGTCAAGATATTCCTCACATTTTATGGAACCCAGTGGTTCATTACGATACTCGCAGGATCCCACCATTGAACTCTATACTGGGATAAGTGAATCCAGTACACGTCTTCACACTTTGTTTCCTTAAGATCCATATAATAATATCCTCCTATCTGCACCTTGATTTGTCAGGTTGTCTCTTTCCTTGTTTTTCATACAAATTTTGCATGTATTTTTTTATTGCTCCTGTGTGTTACTGCGCTTTTCATTCTGAAGTTGTTGTTTTTTTTGCCATCCCCCTGTTTCTTCCTTTCTCCTAGGTACAACTATTTTTTCCAGCACTTTGTTTTCAAACACCCCCAATCTTTGTTGTACTCTTATGCCAAGAGACTAAATTTCACACCCATACAAATCAGCAGGTGAAATTATCGATTTATACATACATATTTTAATCTTAAAACTTTAACGTGTGAGAGAGAAAGACAATATTTATGATGCCTAGAGATGTCATAGTTGGTAATATTGAATTTGCATATTTTGATTACGTCTGTAATATTTCTATGAGAGCCACTTTGAAAGGGTCAGAATCATCATACATTGAAGGAATTTTTCATTAATTAAATAGCAGGAGGTGAATATGATATTTTTGTTTCCTGACTTTAGTTGTGTGGAAATCTGTGGGTGCATTTAGTTATGAGTATATATAGTTGAATGTTGTGTTACAGCCCCAACCAAATCTAGTAGTTGATGTTGTGAGAAATCCTCAGCCCATCGGAGCAGCTCCCTCCTTGCCAATTCTTACCATGGACATGATGCCACTTCCAGAGATGGAGAAGTTTACTGTGGAGCTAAAAAAGGACTATCATGGCTTGGGGATCACCATTGCTGGATATGTCTGCGAGAAGGGTGAGATGACATTTACACAACTAAATTACATCAACAAGCCAGGATTTGTACATTTAGCATAACAGTTCTTGCATATTTCACAAGCATTTTACATTTCGGCCGTGGTGAATGGTGTCAGTGACATCAGAGTTGTTTGAGGTCTGTGCTCCTTGGTGTCGATATTATTTTATATTTGTTTTGTCAGAAATGCAGTACTGTGGCTATATTGCAAGTTTATATGGATGGTAGGATTATGTAGTCACACATTCACATTCTCATGCATGTATAGCCTTTTGCCGATCAGGTATTTTTTTCCCCACCCTTTTTAGCTTGTGTAGCATTGAATAATGGAAATTTAGTGAACATTGAATTGGAAAGGATGTGGAAGGAAGCATTCATGGGCTAATTTATGGTAGTATCCTGGATGTAGACAGAAAGACTGAGGGAAAGCCACAACAAATATCAGTTAGGATAGCCATTTTCCTGGCCAAGATTTGAACCTGGCATTTCCTGAGCATGAAATATTAGTGCTAACTACTTGACTGGTATGTTTAGTGTTTTTTTTATCTCAGTCTACACTTATGTGGTACTGTACATATTGAGTTTCTAGCACTGCAGTGCAATTGGAAAACATTGTGCATGTTTGCAGAGGAACTGTCTGGAATTTTTGTGAAGAGCATCAGTGAGGGCAGTGCTGCTGACCTGTGCAAGAAGATCCAAGTGAATGACCGCATTGTTGAGGTTTGTAGGGCATGTCTTAGGAGATACTTTAATGGCTCATTCCATATTTACTTTAAATCTGATATTTATAATTAATTTCTGAAGAAGAAACATTATATGTGTTGCACATTTTTGTATGCTGTTATGAGGTCATTAAAATGTTTAATATGTTCCATCATATTGCATGTTCCTGTTAAAATATGTGAAGTACTGTCTGAGCTAGTGTATAACCTAATAAAATATTTGAATCAGTCTCCAGTAGTGGGTGGTGGCCTCTTTACCATTTCTCACAGTGTTTGTGTCTTTTACTTCAGGTGGATGGGTGCTCCCTGCAAGGTTATACGAACCACCAGGCCGTTGAAGTATTGAGAAGCACGGGGCAGACTGTCAAGTTATGTCTTGAGAGGTACCTGCGTGGCCCCAAGTTTGAGCAGCTGCAACAAGCCATTGCAAACAGCGAGCTGAAACCTCCAACCCCTTCCTCACCTTCTGCCACATCACTACCTCGCTTCCCAGTCAGCACGGTGAGTGTGCCATACTTATCTTAAGAAATGTGTAGCTGATGTAAGAGTTACCAGTTCCACAGTCAGTTGCAATACCAGCTGATAATTCTTTGCTTTATAGTGGAACCACAAAACACAGAAGCTTGTGAATCCCTTTATCCAGCTAATTGGTTTCTTGTCCTCTTTTTTCTCATGGTATGTAGATTTGTGTTTGTACCTGTCTCTTCTGTCATTATGACGTGGTCTCTGAGTTGAGATCCTTAGGAGTTATGTGCAACTGTTTACAGGATGGAGAGGAGACGGAGATCGAGATCGAGGGTGAGTCCCACACGACGATCGACTCATTGGTGCTGGAGCCACTGGAGGCCACAAATCCAGATGTTGTAGTGGAGGCACTGATTGATACTAACTATGCTGGGAAGTTGAAACCTGCAGTTGAAGCAGCCATCAAGGCCAAGTGGGGGAAGATCATGGGACCAGATGTAGAAATAGTGGTAGGTCATCTAACACATCTCATGGATTTGCATATGATTGTTGTTGGTCATTTGAAACTTATCTTTGGGCATTGAGCTTGGGTTTTATGTTGTGATGCTGTCAGATGTTGAAAATTTGAGTTCAGACAGATTACTGACTTGGTGGTTCCTTACCATTTATGTTCTGGCTAGAAGAAAAAGGGGGAAATGCTCATCGGTGGCTTTGTGGACTAGCCATGTGCTCCACCTCTCTGCCTTCTGCTCTTTCCACTTTGAAACGTGGTGTGGTCAAGTTTGTTGGCTCCCAGAGAAAATTCATAAGAGAGTTCATTCTAAATTAATGTTCTTGAGTTTGTATAAATAACTTCAAAATTTGAAAGAATTGTTCTTGAGCAAGTTGCATTTGCCTGTCCGTGTATAGTATAACACAGAACTTATCCTATCACATAATTATTGCACTGTAAAATGACACTTCCATTGTACTGCAAGTGAGAGTTATGTTGGGTCCAAAGAATGTTTGTACTGATTCTCAGAAATACTGTCCTGGATGCCACATAAATATTTGTCTCTTCAGCATACCTGATAACCATTAATTTAGAATTGCACTGTATGTAGTTTGCTAGAATGGTCGCTGCATATGAAAGAGTCTTTCTTTCTTTTTTATTTATCTAGTCTCAAGATAAATTGATGTGTGTATTATGGTATTGGTGACAAATATCTGATACTGCTTTTAAAATATTTTAATATTGATACAATACTCTGTGTAGATGTGATTTTTGTGATGTCTCTGTGTAACCAGAAATCAGTGATTAACATTTTATTTTTTATGCTTTTTTGTTTTCTCAAAATATTAGATAACCCCCTGCCCAATTTTTTAAATGAAAATAGAATTCATAGAACTTCATCTTATATTTGAGTAAATATGGTGCATGTGTTTTCTGTTTATTGCGTATATTTTGTCAAATGTTTATTCATTTATTTTATACTTGTGTATGTATGTGTGTGTGCATATGTACATATATACTGAAATAAGGAAAGCTGACTTTTAATATTATTATTCTAATAACATGAGATGTGAACCAAGGTGACTCCTGATATACTGATTGCTCATTTTCGTTGTGTTGCCAAGTTGTGTTTCTACTTGTCACCTTGGTGTCTGCACAGGTGGCACAGCTTTGCAAGTTTGGTGAAGGTGGTGGCCTGGGAATCAGCCTGGAGGGCACGGTTGATGTGGAGGATGGCCAGGAGGTTCGTCCACACCACTACATTCGCTCGATCTTACCAGAGGGACCAGTTGGAAATAATGGATGCCTTCACTCTGGAGACGAGTTGCTGGAGGTGTGCTGTTATACCTGTCTATCTGTAGGGTGCACTAGTTATGACTAAAAATATGTATGTGCTTATCTTTTTAATTGTAGATACAGGACATCACAGATTGTTTTAGACAAAACGTATGTTTCCAAATGGAGATAAAGTATTATGTAAGTTATTAGAAAAATTCAAGATGAAAATATGTGTTACTTATTATTAAGTGTGCACTTTCTTTGTTAGTAGTATGCTACTTTGCCATTCAATCATACAAATCATGAAGTTTTGTATTAGTGAGGTAAATATTAGAAAGTTAAGTGTGTCACTTTCAAATGATGCTAGCTTTAATCATGCTGTGAGAGGGGCTCATGTTGATGTAATTGCTTCACAGGTGAATGGGCATCGTCTCCTGGGCATGAATCACATTGAGGTGGTAACCATCCTGAAAGACTTGCCGGTGAATGTGAGGATGGTGTGTGCGCGACGCCTCGGAGATATAGTGCCATATCGACTGATAGACACTTCTCAGGACAGAGCAGCATTTGCAGCAAGGGTAAGAGGGTGTTGAATGCAGTTACTCAGCATCACTTTATTATTGTTCTTGTTAATATTATTATAGCTGCTGGTGTTTGCGTTAGTGTTATTAAGGTGGTTACCTAATTGTTGTTTGTGCAAAACAAAAATATGCATATAAATCTATAAATCCACCATTTTACTGCTGTAAAAATTTAAGTCTGGTTGTTTACCATATTTGCCCTCAAAATACTACAGTTTGTTTACATAAAAGCTAGAAAAAGGTAATTTATAGTGAGAAATTTAATATTTTTGTATACTCTCACCATGTATTATTTATGTGATTAAATTTAAAGATTAGGCAGACATGTAGCATGCATCATAGAAATGTTTATCCAGAAGAGTTATTTTATTGTGGATTCTGTTGAAGCAGGTTGTGATGTGCGCTATATTTGAGTGGCTTGTGACTGAATAAAACCAAGTGACTAAGGAATTTCAGTTTTGCTGAATATCATCTGATCAAAAAGGCACTGTACCATAGTCAGCAGGTTGACACTTTAAAGCTTTGTGGTAGCTGTATATACCACCTGCTTAATGTCCAGTAGCTTTGAATTTTGCCCACAATGCATATTCATGGGTTTTATATTCTCAGAATAAACAGTTATTATTTCCTTGTACAGAAGCATTGTTTCCTGCATGGTACACTCTTCATCCTTTGAAGTGTTAATTTATTGTTCTGGTCTTGCAGAATATTCTTGGAGGCAGCCTGCAGAACCTCATCCCAGCAACAGATCGCCTCGTGAAAGCCAAATCAGACGGGTCACTGGCGTCTACTACCACCACAGCCACAGCTACTGATGCCAGCTTCTCCAAGATGAAGTCACGATCCCTTGAGCCGCTGACAGGCTTGGCCATGTGGAGCTCTGAGCCCCAGATAATAGAGCTGACCAAGGGAGAACGTGGGTTAGGGTTCTCCATCCTCGACTACCAGGTGAGAATGGGTTACACTAAGGCACCTCTTGTTAAGCCTCTCTCATACCACATTTATATTTGAAGGACATGTAGAAGCAGTTAAGTCTTTTTTCAGGCAGTTGCTGCAGAACAGGCCTGCCACCTCACATGTATCAGCCCTTCCAGTCTTAAGATTTTTGCTCTCTGTAATGAGATTCTCCCTATTTTAGAATTTCAGAGCTTACAAAATTCTTTCTGCAACTAATTACTTACATTGTCATAATCACTATCTTTATCAAAAATGGATAAGAGTTTAACAAACTTCTCTTTAATAACATTTCCTTATTATTTTGTGCCACCATTGATACAGCAGGTACTGGTGTCTCACTTTGTTTAAATCCAAAGAATGTACATGTAACTGCTTTCACCAAATAATCAGAGATAATTGGCAGCACATGACCAAGTGGATACAAATGTACATGAATAAGAATTTTAGAACAGACATGTACATTAATTCTTCCCAAAGGGTTAAACAGCAGGTGTTGCACAGAGGGAAATAAATCAGTATAGAAGCTGCGGAGGGCCTGTGACCCATAATGGGATAAGCTTTCACTTCTGGCCAAACAGGAAACAGGTGGGTGAGAGAGGAAAGACATCGGAGCAAAGTCCCACAGAGATGGATAAAATGGAGGAACACTGCCAGACATTTGTCTCATCCTTGTCTTTGAGTCCTTGCTCTGATAAGTGCTCTTTCCATTCTCACCTGTGTTATTTGAGCCAAGCCTTGTAATGACAAATGTAATGATGCTTGAAATATTAGCATTTATCTTTCTTAGTGTTGAGACTGACAACTCTTGAGTTGGACCCAAGTGTGTTTCCTTTGGCTAGAAGTGCTCTCCCTTGGTTTTTGTTGTCAGCATTAAAGATACTTGTTTGACGTAGCTGCATTCACACTGGAAACATGCACACATCCTTTATAGCAGCATTTAACTAACACAGTTGAAGTGTTGTATTACACAAAGTCTAAAACTATTCACACATTTCTTTTTTCATATATCCATTGTGTAGAGTAGAACATTGTGCCCACTGATTCATGACACACAGTATTTTTGGTGGTCATAAATTTCAAGTCATTTCTCTCATGTAGGTTTAGCATTGTTACCCCCCCTGTCGGGGGATGTTTGCTGTCGGCCTAACCATTAGGGACCATTTAGCTTTCTTGTACCTTTGACCTCTGGTTTCACTACTGGCAGCCATAATGACATCAAGGTTTATGCAGGTGTTCAGACTCATTCCAGTGCTTATTGGACTGAGTGAAATGAATCTGATCATGAATTCAAACATTATCTCATCTGTAGTACAGATATTTAAGTTCTCTATCTTGTGTTCTGAAAGTACAGAAAATTGCATGAACCAAAAGAGATTGGCAAGGATGGTTGCAAGCAGAATGAAGAAGGTGAAATGCAATTTGCTAATAGAAAACAGCAATGCAAGGAATCTGACTCCTGTTTAGTATTCAGATTGACAATTACTAAGTTTCTTTGCACACTAAAATTCTGTTTTAATATATTGTTTCTCCCATTCAGTCTAAATGTTCTGTCCGTTTTCTTTGTTTTTTAAGACGTATAAAATCATGACATTCTCCCTTTCCCTCACATCATCTCTCTTGTGTTCAGATATTGTCTAGAGCAGCATTTCTCAACCTATGGTACACATACCACTGGTGCCATTGATGAACTGGCTTCAAATATCATCATTTTCTTTCTTCTTATGTCTTCATGGCTCCAGGTCAAATTCCAGATTGGTGTAGCATAACCCATTTGAAGACCCATGTGACATTACACTATAAGTTGTGGGCATTTCTGCATCCCCCAGTTAGTCTGCTGTGAGCAATATTGCTCATCTTCGATATAGTGGGTAAATGTAGGAATGTTTGGAATTCAAGGTGTTGTCAGGTCGGCATAAAATTATCATCTTGGTCTCAAGATTTTGGAAGGTTCTTAGAACATGTGACTGCCATTCCAGTATTTATAAGTGTCTCTTGTTTTGTGTAGTTCGTAGGAAAGCTGCCTTGGCATTGAGGAGTCACATCTGTAGGACTGATAGTGTTCACAAAGTATTGTCATTGAAATATCTGTGTGTTTACCTGTATAAATGTAATTTCTTTTCTCTGATATTCAGCTTGTAGTTCTCAAATAAAACTTGTTCGGAAAAAATACTTATGCTTCATATTTCTATGTATGTTACACATTTGAGTGTAGAAAATTATATACTGGAGCTAGCAGAATATAAATTTTTCATGTTTGATGTGTTTCCTTAGGCATTTCACATACATGCTTGGGCTTCTGTATACATTTCTACACTCCACAAAACTGCCATCATTGATCTCCCGAACTGTCCTCTGTTTTCCATTGGGGTAGATTTGAGTCCAAAGTTTGCAAGGCAATGGACGTGTCATGAAGTTCTCTCACAGGATTATGGGTGTTTTCAGGACCCGATGAATCCCAATGAAACGGTGATAGTGATCCGGAGCCTCGTGCCAGGTGGTGTTGCTCAAGTCGATGGCCGCCTCATTCCAGGTGATCGCCTGCTGTTTGTTAATGACACTGGATTGGAGAATGCATCTCTGGATCAAGCTGTCCAGGCACTGAAAGGAGCCCCCAAGGGAGTTGTGAGAATTGGTGTGGCGAAGCCTCTGCCCATACCTGACAGCGTGTCCCACAGTCAGGTAAGCGAAGACCTTGCCCCCCATTGTACACCCACCACCACGCACCACGTCGAGTACTACTCGGACGTCCACCAGCAAGGGGACCAGGGGGGGCTCGTCAAGTCCGAGAGCTTCTAGCATGGTGGTGTTATTGCACCTCACAGGGTTGGGAAAATCAAAGTACTCTGTAGGTGACCAGAATAACATAGCACTGCACTGTAACTTCACAACTTGTGAAGCCTCTGTGACTTTCTGGTCAATGTGGTAACAAATTATATTGTATCGGACCAATTTTTACTGCATTTAGATGTAACAACATTTAATCCTTATAAACTCTTTCTGTGATGGGACAGTCAGTACTGGTGCAGGGGACTGTTCCCCGTAACATGAAGCTTCGAGTATCTTTGCATGAAGTAAGAGCGGAGTGCCGTTTAAACATTTTGTAATTATGACAACATGAGGGTCTATAGTCTATATTAATTAAAGTAATGTGGCACCCCTTTTCCTGTACTTTATTTTCACGGAAGCATGTGCAGTAGGCATTACTGATTGAGTTAGCTTGCATCGCTCACTCCTGCTGCAGTTTTGTAGTCTACTAATATTGTGTATTATTTGTAGACTTTTATTGACTTTTAATTGAATCACAGAAAGAACCTGTTGCGATCTCTCGTTGTTGTCGATAAACTGGAGAATGTTGCCGACTCGAATCATTGTTATGAAGGTGCTTGTGGAAGTGTAACAACAAAGCCTACAGTGTGATTTCCGTAAAACCAAAATCTTGCGTGAAAATCTACTTTTCCTTGTTGTACGTGTGCAATTTGTAAATTTTGTTTGAATCATAATAAAATTTTCCACCCGTAAAACTTGGACATTTTTTCAAGTATAACCTCCCCTCAGTCAACTCCATTAATTACATAAATTCAATTCCAGATTATTAACCTTACAATAATCCAGTTCCATGTAAATAATTGACCCTCATATTAGTACTAGTCAGGGAATTATTACAAGATATAAGTATTCAAAATTGTTAACTTATAACTTAAGAGTTACCAGATTATAGTGGCAGGTCATGGGTTTAACATTTCTGTGATGTACTCACTTGTTCTTTCCTCCAGTCTGCATGACAATTTTGAGTTTATGTTCCTTCTTTTGTGGTTTGTTCATTTCCTAACAGTATTGTCATTTTGATAAATTTCTAATGCTTGGTTCACTCGCTAAATGCCATGTCAGTTGGAAGGCAGATGCGTTGAAGTGTGTGGACCAGGCTTGTCGCAGGTAAGTGTTTCGTTCCTCACACCATCCCTGACTTTCAGAATTGCTGGTGTGGGGTGGAATCTATATGTAGTGACTGCATGATGCGTGATTGTTTGCATTGCATGAAGGACCGTTTGTTTCAGGAAATATTCAAAATTTTGCTGAAGTACTTGCTTTTCCCCTTTGGGGTTAGCAGGTGGTGGGTGTATATCATGTGATTTGTTTTAAGAGGTTGGCAGGCAGATTGTAAGGTACAAAGTACATTTTACAGCCTGGGAGGTTTCACAGTTTTTACAACTGCTCTAACATTATTTGTTCCACACTCTGCAAATTGCAATTTTCCACACGGTGTTTGGTCAGCATGTGCACGATACTTGCTGTGTGCATGCGTGTCATGTTCTTATCGTTCTGAGATGATTTCTGTTGCGCAGGTCTGGATAGGAAGCTGTTATGTGTTCATAATTTGCAGCTGATTTTTGGTTTATTCACAGTGAAAAGTTGCCTATTATCTTTGCCGTATGTCTGTCACGTGGAACTTGAAAACCGCTGAATGGATTTTCTTAAAATATGATACTAAAGAGTTTTACACACACACAAAAAAAATGACGCGCTTCTGCTTACATTTGTTTTTCTGCTCATCTCGAATGTAATTCATTAAATATTTATTGGAACAAAGAATGTTTTGAAGAAGAGTTGCCCAATACACTTTCTGTTAATGAAACAAAAGGGGTCTTTATATTAACTAGGATTTGATGTTTTCATTGTGGTGAGTCCAAAGACGGCTGTCTCTTGGGTTATAGTGCCGTGTAGTCTGGCGATACTCATCGCCCTGATGACGGAGACAGCAAGGACCTCTGAAATGTTGGTAAACTTTACCAGACTGCTTGGTGCTACAACCCCGAAGACAGCCATCTCTGGTCTTTATATTGTGTTACCATTGGATTGGTTTTGATGTGTTTTGATATTAGAAGTTCTTGTTCATCTGACATTCCTATTTTATGCTATTTATAATAGAGCACTAGGATTACTAACGTACTGAACACGCCTGAGTTGTTATGGTAATATTTCATGACTTGTTTTTGATGCTGTTGTCTGCCAGTCTTGTTCTTATTCAAGGAATCTTGTCCTGAGGTGTAAGTTCTCATAGGCTGAGATAGCCTGATGGCTAACAGAGCAGACGTATCGCTTACCATGTGGTCCAGATTAGTTTAGAACTTTCACCAGTTGTTCTTCTTAAATAACTCTCTAACCTGGTTGATGATACATACCTGAGTTCATTCATAGTAAAAGGGATTGGGCTTCGTGGTTTAAAGCTGTTATTTTAAGTCTAAATTAAGGGTCCTCCAGTTCTCACAAACCAAATTTAAAATATGTTGTCACTATGTTATCAACAGAGGAATAGTGTGACCGAGACCTATTCATTTGTAACTCACTTGGTTTAGTTGTCTGAGGTATAAGTGAATTGCGCTGATCGTATCCCTCTCTCCTGATGAGCATTTTGCAGGTAAGTCCTGTGCATGACGCTTTACCAGTGGGTTCTGTGTGTTGCTAAGTTTGCTGTTGCAGTTTGAAGTGCAGTAAAACCATGCACTTATTGTGTGAGGGTCAGCTCACTTACTTTATTGATCTTACTCTACTTACGTTGGTGCAGAGATGTAAAGAGCTGTCAACATTCCCTGGTCCTTATCCTGGATTTTGGCCTCCTTCCATCACGTACTGCTCCTTTATTTGTCTAGGCTGCCCTCTTAAGGCTCTAGAGAATTAGGGGCTTCCAGAATTTCTAATTTATTGGAGTTTTGGGGCATGATGCGTTGGCTTCTGATTTGAATAATATGTTGAAGTATCTTCCAGAAGCTGAAGTTGTCTGCTGCCTACCACACTTTTAGTGTATCATCAGTTTTTCCTTCAGTTTCTTTCCATCTCTGTCAGTTTTGAATGTCCTAGTTCCTTTTCTCTGCACACATTTGTTGTCTGATCTGCCATTTTATAAGTTCTTTCATTCTTCCTCCCATTCATTTTTATCACTATGTTCTGAACACCCTCTCCCAGCCTTGTGTGGGTCTGTCTGTGCAGACAGTGAATTGGTCGCCTGCATACGGCATAATCCACTGCTCCAGCATAATAAATTCAAACCAAGTACTATAGAGTGTTTTACCGTCCCCGTCTCTTGAATTGGTAATTGGCACAATAGTAGTCTCATTTAACTTGTGGCCAAAACCTTGCTGCCAGTCTACAGTTTTCCATAGTTCTTTCAGCCAAATCCAGAGTAATTGGAGTAGGCCACAACTGCTTTCTTTTGTGTGAGTCTGGTCTTTATATTGTGTTACCATTGGATTGGTTTTGATGTGTTTTGATATTAGAAGTTCTTGTTCATCTGACATTCCTATTTTATGCTATTTATAATAGAGCACTAGGATTACTAACGTACTGAACACGCCTGAGTTGTTATGGTAATATTTCATGACTTGTTTTTGATGCTGTTGTCTGCCAGTCTTGTTCTTATTCAAGGAATCTTGTCCTGAGGTGTAAGTTCTCATAGGCTGAGATAGCCTGATGGCTAACAGAGCAGACGTATCGCTTACCATGTGGTCCAGATTAGTTTAGAACTTTCACCAGTTGTTCTTCTTAAATAACTCTCTAACCTGGTTGATGATACATACCTGAGTTCATTCATAGTAAAAGGGATTGGGCTTCGTGGTTTAAAGCTGTTATTTTAAGTCTAAATTAAGGGTCCTCCAGTTCTCACAAACCAAATTTAAAATATGTTGTCACTATGTTATCAACAGAGGAATAGTGTGACCGAGACCTATTCATTTGTAACTCACTTGGTTTAGTTGTCTGAGGTATAAGTGAATTGCGCTGATCGTATCCCTCTCTCCTGATGAGCATTTTGCAGGTAAGTCCTGTGCATGACGCTTTACCAGTGGGTTCTGTGTGTTGCTAAGTTTGCTGTTGCAGTTTGAAGTGCAGTAAAACCATGCACTTATTGTGTGAGGGTCAGCTCACTTACTTTATTGATCTTACTCTACTTACGTTGGTGCAGAGATGTAAAGAGCTGTCAACATTCCCTGGTCCTTATCCTGGATTTTGGCCTCCTTCCATCACGTACTGCTCCTTTATTTGTCTAGGCTGCCCTCTTAAGGCTCTAGAGAATTAGGGGCTTCCAGAATTTCTAATTTATTGGAGTTTTGGGGCATGATGCGTTGGCTTCTGATTTGAATAATATGTTGAAGTATCTTCCAGAAGCTGAAGTTGTCTGCTGCCTACCACACTTTTAGTGTATCATCAGTTTTTCCTTCAGTTTCTTTCCATCTCTGTCAGTTTTGAATGTCCTAGTTCCTTTTCTCTGCACACATTTGTTGTCTGATCTGCCATTTTATAAGTTCTTTCATTCTTCCTCCCATTCATTTTTATCACTATGTTCTGAACACCCTCTCCCAGCCTTGTGTGGGTCTGTCTGTGCAGACAGTGAATTGGTCGCCTGCATACGGCATAATCCACTGCTCCAGCATAATAAATTCAAACCAAGTACTATAGAGTGTTTTACCGTCCCCGTCTCTTGAATTGGTAATTGGCACAATAGTAGTCTCATTTAACTTGTGGCCAAAACCTTGCTGCCAGTCTACAGTTTTCCATAGTTCTTTCAGCCAAATCCAGAGTAATTGGAGTAGGCCACAACTGCTTTCTTTTGTGTGAGTTGTGGCTTCTGGTTGTCTTGCTGTTTAGTCTTATCGGTGTTACAGATCGTCATCTCTCCTATATCCATT